AAGGACAAGAATGCGTAATGCGTAATCATGATAAAACCAAATTCCTGTGTTTCACTTCCCCAGCGAAGGGACACCCGCCACATTCTCATTTAAAAATAACCCAAAGTTAATACTTTTGACCGCACTAAAGACAACATGTAGGAGATTGAAAAGTAGTGTTCTTATATAGTTTTTGGAAATGGCAACCGCCACGGGCGTCGGCGACAAAAACTTCGGTTGTGTGGTAAAAAGCTGGGGTTTTTTCACCTTCATCATACATTCAAGATCAATTGTGTGTCCATCGATAAAGTCCCTTGAAAGACGAATGTTTCTGTCACAGACTGAATGAAAGAGAGTTTAATACCTTGCTGGTCTATTATGCTTAAAGAAGAGATTATCTCGTAAGCTGTTTTCACTTTGTTACAGCCGTTTCAATCGCCTCCATCACTGAATCAGTCAACATTCAAAACATTTTTAATTCATGCAAACACATCCACGGTCTCTAGAAACCAAAACGAACCCTTCCATCAGTTTGAGTGCTTGAGGTTTTAAACGAAAACACCGCCGGGCAAAGAAAATAAGATAATCCAAAATTGCTTTGGTAAGGTTTTCTAATTCCTGTTCGTGCCTGATCACATGAAAACAACAAAAAACAAAAAAAAGTTGAGCACGTGATGTGACGTCACGCTCTTATAGAGCGTGACCCCGAGACTTGATATCTATAAATTAAAATTACAATACTGTACTTTATGATTATGCATAATTCGTGATGTTGCGTCTAGGTTAAAGAAAGATTTCGTATATGCTACGTGCCTAAAACTACTTACTAATCATGCTATCAATTCTATTTTGAAGAGGGAGCCATTAAACTTGGGATTTCTGAATAGATGCAAATGGCCTTTTAATCTAAACACGTTTGATGAGTCTGTACCGGTTTGCAAAGTCAACTTATTTTTCTCTTATGATTAAAATGCGGATTGCCAATAGCCTTCTCATGTCCTTTTAGATTAGTCCACACATCTTTATCGCCGCTGCAACGCAAACATACAAGAAAAAGAGGTGGATTTGAAGGGGGAAACTGTACGTGCTAACGAGGTTACAAATTCGGTTCGTTTTCTCAAAGTGAAGTTAAAAAAAAAGAACGGCACGGATCGCTAAGTATCAGTAACCTATTATGCAATTCAAATTCAACGTGACTGATGAAGACTGGTCTTAGCAATCGTTTAGTGCTTTTGCAAAGTTCATATTCAAGGAAGAAGTGGAAAGCTCGCGCACAGTTTGTTCTTTGCGATTTTGTTTTGAGCTGTTTTGCAAAGTGGTTATCGGAGTTTGGGAGCCTTTTTGGACAAAAATACGCATATACATGCGTATGTATGTATGTATTCTTGGACAGTTCAGTAAAACGGACTTCAAAAAGCGCTCAACTCAGCTGTCAACTCTAATTCATTAGAGGAGCCAAGATAAATTCATTGAATGTAGATCAGACTTCACAAGATATCCATTCGTTTACTGATACTCATCAGGCAATTTTAAAGCGAACGACCCGTACATTTCAAAACTGGCGGTTATAAGTAGGTCATTTTGTTTTTACATCGCATAGCAACGGTGTTTTAACGGTGTTATAAGCACTTTTTAAAAAATGCTCATAACCGCCAGTTTTGAAATATCATTCGTTAAAATTGCCTGATGAGTGTGGTCATCTTTTGACCATACGAAACAGTACTGTAGCAAACGAATGAATATCTTCTGAATGGCTGATCTACATTCAAGGAATTTATGTATGTATGCATGTATGTATGCCGGCGACCAAACAGGGGATTCCCAGTGTTAAGCATCCATCCTGAATGATCCTAAATGGTAAGCTAATGAGTAATCTTAGATTTTGATTGTTGGTCTTAGGTCGGAAAAAATAGGTTTTGCTGCTGAGTATTAAATAATTAAAATTAATTATGACTTTACTGTAATGATATGATATGATATGATATGAACATGATGCTAAAATTATATGCGAGTTAAAGACTTAATTAAGACTCCTTTTAATAGAGTTAAATAGACTCGTGGAACGCGCGTGCAAGCACACTGAAAGTTTTAAGGGTTTCGAAATCAGTAAAATTTAAATTTTACTGATTTCGAAACCCTTAAAAGGAAAAAGGGATGGAAAGTCAAATACACACAATTTGCAATATTTCTTCCTGAAGAAATAATACATACAACTGATCATTTTGGATCGAAACTCCTAAGAAGCTGTCACGAGAGAACAATGAACTGTTCAATCCGAATTTCAAGGGCAGGAGAAAAAATGCCACCGAATTGTTCGAGAATTGAGGAAAACCGTTTTTTTAAAGGTATCTATATGCATTTTTCTAATTAAAAGCGTCCAAAAAGGTAAGGCGTTCATAAGCATAATGATGATAAGCATGACAGTTTTCTCAATACATCACCGACGAGGTGGAAAGGTGAGTGATTTTGCACGAATTTGTTCTTTACGTTACATTCATTCTTAGCCTTCAATTCCGAAAAAACAATTTTAATTACACCGTGGCGTCGTCATGTGACAACTTAGTGATTCAAACAACTGACTCGTTAAGTCATTTCTATTTGGGCCCTGCTGAAACTCTATTTACATTCACCTTCATTTGACGTCGGTCAGGTCAGGCTACAAGCATCCAGATCGTTGGGATCAATACTTCTACTGAGTTGAAGTATTTAACAATGTAGTACGTAGATATAACATGACATTTTGTTAAAGTTATAATCACCCATGTCCGGTAATTCCTTGGGAAAGGCGCGCTAGTGACAAACAGTATCTCAAGTAAGAAGCGCGTAACGAATCCCTTGCCTTGGTAGCCTCCTCCGCAGATGTTCTTTTGACTTGTCACACAATCCTCCATGGCAGTGATATTTATCAATTTAATACATGTCTATGAGACGGCCAAAGCGTTGCATGCCGATCTCAACCGAGTTAACCGGTCACAGCGATAACGATTCGTACGTAAATAGGATGAACCTGTTATAAGGAGTGTTTATACTGGGACTTCCAAAATCCTCAGAAACGAGAGTTGAAAAACAAAAGGTACAAGTCACCTCCAGCCCACAGGTTGTAAACCAATGCTCTTTGGTACTTCCTCAGTGAGGAGGAGGAGGATGATGAGGATGATGATGGTGGTGGTCACGATGACCATAATGATGGTGATGATGATGTCTATGGCTACAATCCCGCTCTGTTTTGGTATGGCGTGATTCTATGGGTGTTGAGAGTTCTGGGTCAGGGCTTAAAATCAGAGTGCGCGGATATTTTTCATTAGAGCTTTCTCCGTTGTTGCGCCATACTGACGAGCCCCAAAAAGGGCGAAACAGCTGTCTATGGCTACAATCCCGCTCTGTTTTGAGTTCTTTCGGTGTCGTGTTGATGTCTTGCAGAGTTAATTTTCACGTAGTACGATCAGCATTGCAGTATTCTGCTTGCAGAATTTAATATGTCTACATTATTATTTTTGCTGATCAGGTCTTTATAGATCCTACGTTCTTCGGCATATTCGTTTGCGGTCCTTTGCAGTCCTTTGTGGTTAATGTTTGTACTTTATGAATTTTGGGCCGTAGATCTTTTAAAGATCCGATATGCTGTAATTCTTGCATGGTTCTGTCCATGTTCTAGAGGTTAGTTTTGGCCAATTCTTTATTTTCTCTGAGAGACATCAACTTGACACTTGGACTCTTGCCCCCCAGAAGACATGTGGTATGGCGTGATTCTATGGGTGTTGAGAGTTCTGGGTCAGGGCTTAAAATCAGAGTGCGCGGATATTTTTCATTAGGGCTTTCTCCGTTGTTGCGCCATACTGACGAGCCCCAAAAAGGGCGAAACAGCTGTCTATGGCTACAATCCCGCTCTGTTTTGAGTTCTTTCGGTGTCGTGTTGATGTCTTGCAGAGTTAATTTTCACGTAGTACGATCAGCATTGCAGTATTCTGCTTGCAGAATTTAATATGTCTACATTATTATTTTTGCTGATCAGGTCTTTATAGATCCTACGTTCTTCGGCATATTCGTTTGCGGTCCTTTGCAGTCCTTTGTGGTTAATGTTTGTACTTTATGAATTTTGGGCCGTAGATCTTTTAAAGATCCGATATGCTGTAATTCTTGCATGGTTCTGTCCATGTTCTAGAGGTTAGTTTTGGCCAATTCTTTATTTTCTCTGAGAGACATCAACTTGACACTTGGACTCTTGCCCCCCAGAAGACATGTGGTATGGCGTGATTCTATGGGTGTTGAGAGTTCTGGGTCAGGGCTTAAAATCAGAGTGCGCGGATATTTTTCATTAGGGCTTTCTCCGTTGTTGCGCCATACTGACGAGCCCCAAAAAGGGCGAAACAGCTGTCTATGGCTACAATCCCGCTCTGTTTAGAGTTCTTTTGGTGTCGTGTTGATGTCTTGCAGAGTTAATTTTCACGTAGTACGGTCAACATTGCAGTATTCTGCTTGCAGAATTTAATAATTCTACATGATGATAATGATGAAGATAATACGCGCTATGTGACACATGGTCACACATGGCACAGAGAGGATTGCTGATGATGACGGTGATCGATGATGATGATGATGACAATGATTGGTTGTTTTAATGTTTGTATCGAGATAGGACTTCAGATCTCAACATTCATAAAAAAAAGGTTCAGCAAATTTTTGTTGTCACTATATTCCACTTTTCAATCCATGCATTTCCTCCCAGAGGAATATTCGGTTATTTATCGAAGCGTTGTAATGGCGAAGATTCGTTTCACTCTTTCATATAACAGCAACTTGCCTTGCTTTTAATTTCAAAATCGTTCTATGTTATTCGTTTTTTATACATAGAATTCTTTTGTTCATTTTTTGTAGTCACCGGTCACTGAGACTATAATCAAAAGAGAAGTACCGTAGTACCGTTGAGCTGAAAGGAGGGGCTCAGTATTCTCCAAAAACGGAGCAAGCATCCTACCAAGGGCTCAATTTCTTACCAAAGGAGCACCTTTTGGTGAACAAACATGTACCGTGTACTGAAAGCTGAATATGGCCAAGTTCTGTTTGAGAGAGACCAGGCGCAGAGAACTTTACAAATCGCAAATTTCCAGCGTAGATCTGTACTTAAGCAACGGAGTAAAAACGGAACTTATGGTATGGATTTTTTTTTCCATTTTCGATAAACGTAGTTTTTCTTCCCTATATCTACGTCAATTCCAAACGCAAAACTGACCCCTGCACAATACTCACCACTTTTCGCCATAGCTTACCCTGAGGATACAGAACTCGAGGACATCATGAAAACAGAATGTTTAGTAAGGAGTATCTATTACGAATTGTATTTAGGCTATGATTACACTATTCCGGATAGCTTTTTGCGTCCGCACAAAAACCATACCGGACAGGGCTTCTGTTTACACATAAGAACGATGATTTCGGCGCCATTTCAGGATGTGAAGGATCGAAGCTGCCCCACGCCGATTTAAAGTGGACAGTCCCGGCACATATCGGATAGGCGTTTATACTGTTACGGATATCTTTTCGTGTCGGCATAAAATGATGGGAAAAGTTTACAATTGTTATAAAGTCCACGATGCATTCGCTGGGAAGAGCATTTCAGAACGCACATTGCTGTAACGTGTCTGAAACATACACAGCAGGTCGTAACCCGAGTGAAATACCTCCATGGAATTCCATGGAGTTCCATGGAGTATTCATGAAATTCCATGGAATTCCATGGGAGTATCCATGGAGTTCCATGGAATGCCATGTAGTTCCATGGAGTTCCACGAAATGCCATGAAATTCCATGGATTTTCAGTTGGAGTTCCATGGAATTCCATGGAGTTCCTTGGCGTATTGATGGAGTTCTACGGAATGTTATGGAGTTCCATGGAGTATCGATGAAGTTCGATATTCGGTCCCTGCAGTTTGTATGAGAATCCATAGAAATTCATTAATCAAGTAACTCATTAACTTGTTACAACTTGTAACCACATGTTCAAGTCCACACTTTTTATTGGAAAGAAAAATAGGAAACATTTTAAAGCTTTTTAAAAGCATAAATAGTGCGTAGGCTTAAATTACACAGACAATGCAAAAGTATCTTAGACTTGTTCTATGTTCACCGATGCTGAAACTGTCCCAGCGTAAGAAATGTTTTTGCTGGCTATTAAAGAGATCTAAAGACAAAGGTTTTTGTGCGCTTGATAAAAAAGTGATCCTTAGGACAAAAAAGAAATAAATGTAGGAACTGGTTTTTAGCATGCAGGGCTGTCTGCCATTTAACTTGCAAAATCATTGTTGCATTTAAAATATGATCACTGTTTTATATTAACATGCAGCCGCTTCAGTATATTATTAACTACGAATGATCCCAATAGGCCAAAACTATTCTCACTATAAACCTTGTCACGGTTTTCGACGCCATCTTGACGAGTAGGCAAACGCGTGAGAAATTACAGTGTTTGTATGAGAATCTAATGTCGAATAATTGCAATATTTTCCTCTCACTGCTTTACTCTTCGAGAGCGTCGGAATAGTGCAATTAACTCTGTGAAGGACCACAACTTAAAGCCTTTAAAAACAGACATCTTCTCGATGATGCCGTCGATTAGCCGCCATGTTTGGTGCTTGAACTGGCTTCCAGGGGCGCTTCCCATTCAACCCAAAAGTCCGGAAATTTCGGTTGGTTCATCAAATGGAACGGACCATTTCGGTTTGGTCCGACCGGAATATTCGGGACCAGCTTTGAAGGTGGTCCACTGTGACTGGTCTGGTCATTTCGGTCGGTCGGACCGAAATGTCGCTTTCCATTTGCCAAAATTGTTGTCCCCAGTACCGCTCTTTTCTATCCTGCTTACAAGAACAAGTAGTTTCCATTGGAAAGTGAAGTGCTGTGAGTAAAACATGACATCTCAAATAGTTTGAATCATTTGCAATTTTTTTCGATTTTTGATATTTGCCGTTAACAGTGTCAAATAACTGACGCCACACGACACGTAGGTGAAAAAAAATGTGTGTAATTAAGCTACAATTTTATAAAAGTCCGTGAGAATCAGCGTATTATTGGTCTGAAACCTGTCGACGATATTTAACTAAAGTAATTTATCAATTAAGCTGAAATGAATACAACAAAGCCTGGCTGAATACAAATTGGCCAAAACACCGAATTTTTTTACCGTACAGTTCCAGGAATTGCTTCGAATCGTTCGAATATTCTGAGAAACGTATCGCTTCAATTCACAAGAATATTTTACCTTCACTTGCATTCATAGGCTTTCTACACGAAATAGGATTCCTCCGCATTTAGTTTTCCACCGGCCCTTTTCGACAGTCGAGTGTTCTTTAGGATATAAACAGTATTTACTTTTCACTTTTAGAGCGTAATTATGAGTGTGCTGCGAAGCCACAATAACAAAACGCGCGGTGGCTTGGGTCGGGTCTGTGCAACCGGAATGTAGCGGTCCATTGAGCACGCGAAATTTCCGTAATTTCAAACCGTAATTTTTGTTGAATGGAAAGCGTCCCAGACCTCTCCTCCTAGTGACTAACGCGATCACGTGGGGCTTTTGAACCAATAGAAATGTGTAGAAGATCAGTTTTCTTGGTTCAAATCTTTAGGCGGACTTCTGTGCACTACAACAGTGGTGTACAAACGGATTGTCTTTATAATGAATGCATCTCAAAAAGATGTTCTTTTCAACGTAAAATATTCACTTGTGAGGTTGCTTTATTTGGCTTGTTTCAAAATCGACTGCTTCACTCAGCCCGATTGGCATTAAAGAGGAAGGTAAGGTTAACTTATACACAAACTCGTGTTTGGTTGCAGAGAATTGAGATCGTACGTCGCTCGATTGTCTCTGCTAGATTAGAATTAAGAAGGGTATATTTTCGGGTGCTATTTGGTTTTTATAGACGTAGTTTCCATCTTTTTTGTTTATACAGACATGCCTGTGGTCTTTGCTGCAAATTGTCTTCGGAATCCTTTGAAATAATTATTAATTCTGGCAGAATTTGAAATCGAAGACTTTGATGTGGCAAAGTGAAAATATAAGCTTAAGAATTTTCATGTCTCCTAAGAAACAACTATACAAGAGACTGATTTATTATAGTTATGACCTGACGCCGTTTTTCCCAAGGATTAGGCAGGACGTAGCTATAACTAAATATCATAGTGGTTCTGATCGGGACATACTGAAGTAGACCTTCCCTTTTTCGTAGCATTAAATAAAGCCATGTTTACATACTGACGGTTTATGAATTCACGTATTAGCTGAAGCTTATATTTCTCTGAATTGTGCATCTTTGGTTCGCTAGTGTTACTTTCCTTCAAACGCCAGGCCTACATTCCCTGCATTATATTAAATCTTAAGTTTGTGATTATAACTTCTTCAATATGAGAAGTGTCCAGATACCCGGCAGCCGGGAACTGTTTTCAAAAAACTAGATACCTGGCAGTTAGTAATGTTGACTAATTTTCTCGCAATAGCGCGTTTAATTCCTTTGAGAACATAAGATATTTGTTTAGGAATCTCAAACGATTGCTTCGGGTTAAAAGTAGAAGCGACCGTCGAGCTTGGGCGTAGTGAAATCTCAATATTTTCGACACTTAAAAAATATTCTATTTTTGACACACTGAGTCAAATCCAGACAAATATCCACAGATATTATCAAAGAAACCTCATCAGAGTATTTAGTGTTTGTTCAGAAATGCCAAGCGATTCTAAATAAAGGTTTCGTATTGTTGTGGACAAATTCTCCGAGCTTGCATTAACGGTAATTCTTTACTCACGGGTACGGTTTTCAAAATACTCGGTGCCCGGTAGTCGGAAATTCTCAAATGTTCTTTCTGCATCTGACTCGATNAATCCTTTGAAATAATTATTAATTCTGGCAGAATTTGAAATCGAAGACTTTGATGTGGCAAAGTGAAAATATAAGCTTAAGAATTTTCATGTCTCCTAAGAAACAACTATACAAGAGACTGATTTATTATAGTTATGACCTGACGCCGTTTTTCCCAAGGATTAGGCAGGACGTAGCTATAACTAAATATCATAGTGGTTCTGATCGGGACATACTGAAGTAGACCTTCCCTTTTTCGTAGCATTAAATAAAGCCATGTTTACATACTGACGGTTTATGAATTCACGTATTAGCTGAAGCTTATATTTCTCTGAATTGTGCATCTTTGGTTCGCTAGTGTTACTTTCCTTCAAACGCCAGGCCTACATTCCCTGCATTATATTAAATCTTAAGTTTGTGATTATAACTTCTTCAATATGAGAAGTGTCCAGATACCCGGCAGCCGGGAACTGTTTTCAAAAAACTAGATACCTGGCAGTTAGTAATGTTGACTAATTTTCTCGCAATAGCGCGTTTAATTCCTTTGAGAACATAAGATATTTGTTTAGGAATCTCAAACGATTGCTTCGGGTTAAAAGTAGAAGCGACCGTCGAGCTTGGGCGTAGTGAAATCTCAATATTTTCGACACTTAAAAAATATTCTATTTTTGACACACTGAGTCAAATCCAGACAAATATCCACAGATATTATCAAAGAAACCTCATCAGAGTATTTAGTGTTTGTTCAGAAATGCCAAGCGATTCTAAATAAAGGTTTCGTATTGTTGTGGACAAATTCTCCGAGCTTGCATTAACGGTAATTCTTTACTCACGGGTACGGTTTTCAAAATACTCGGTGCCCGGTAGTCGGAAATTCTCAAATGTTCTTTCTGCATCTGACTCGATTTCTATGTAAAATTATAAGGAGTCGACTATAGTCTTACCAGATATCCTGTAGAAATGTTCCTCTGAGTTACAAACAACGATAAATTTGTCGACTCGGCAGAAGAGTGCCCTTCATCTTCCGGTGTAGCACTATAGTTGCGTGACGCAAATACTACACTTATTTTTGAAGTGTCGAAACTATAAAGATTTCACTCTATGCCCAGGCTCGACAGTTGCCTTTACTTCAAACACAAAGAAGTGTTTGAAATCTCTTGGAATTCCATGGAGAATTTTCCATGAAGCCCCTTCACACGGGAAATTCTGTATACACGTACATGTATTTTGTGGGCTTTTTATTCTTCCTCGAAGCTTTCAGGGGCACCCAACGAGAATATAGTTCAAAACCATTTAAACATAGCATTGTTAGATGTATTTTAGTATTTAAACGGTAGATATAGGTACATTTTTATCCCCTAAAAATTTTTCATCTGTTCGGATTTCCTAGCTGAAATTTTAGTGATCCGAAAATTATAGGAATCAAAACTTACCTTTTCGAAAATTTCAGCCAGAAAAAAAGTTCCCTAAAATTCTCGGTGACCTTTTTAGGGTAAAAATCCGTTAAAAATTGGCAATTATACCATTTTTTAGATGCTTGAAAATCCTAGGAGAGGCAGGCAAACAAGAAATTTTACAACAAATGTTCCGAAAATTCTAAATCTCAAATCGTCTTCCGAACAGATATTTTCCGAAAATTGACGTTGGGTGCCCCTGAGCTTTCCGCATGCGATTCATTGAATACAGTATTGCATCATAATTTTAGAAACTGTCAAAGGGTTCTTTGATTATTGGCGTTTGAACGTAATTGAAAGGGCTAAAATTAGGATATTTTTATGCGTAGTCCTCGGATAATATTTGCCAGCATTCGTCTTTTAACTAAAGAGCGGTCTTGCTGTTAATTTCTTAGCCGAAAAGCAGTGAATCATGGAAAGGATAGCCTCAAGGCCTTGTCTGGCTGCTCATTGTTACATCGCTTGAGCAAAAGTATTTCATCCATCTCGTTTGTAACTGTTTTTGTAACGGGCAGGAAGTCGCTAGTGCATTTTGATACAAGTATTACAATTTAACCGTGTAGTTATAGTGTCCAGGAAATTACATTTTCAGTAACAGTATACGCAGTTATAACCCATGTCGTTCTATCTATTTCTGGAAAGATTCGTGTCAAGAAAAGAAGGCATTCTGGTAGCCAGTGAACCAGATGCATGTACTATAGTATGTACCATCTGAAGGGAGACGAAGTGTTGAAGGGCAGAAACTTTTGTTTTTGCAATACATATCAAGGGTCATTGCGGGAGGCTCCTTATATAGCGCTGAAGGAGCGAGAAATACGACACGCTGCCGAAGACCGGGACTACTGGAGTCATGTGGTAGCCGCCTGCCGAGACAATCCGGATTGATCCGTAGATGAGCTTATATACCATAGTGAACTCGTGCAAGCTCACACCGCAGTTTGATATTGATCTTAAACTGCATCTGAAACATGTGAAGTGTATTCACTTGCTGTTTCGTTTAAGTCGGCCGGCGGTTTACGTCATTCGCTGGTTCAATTTATTTCGGCTGCTTTTTTAGCCGTTATTGCCTGCTAAACCTCAATTATTTCTCTTCCTTGCAGGGGCTGCCAGTAATTCAACCAGAGAAGACAAAATGGGTAATGAACATGACATATCGGAACAATACCACTTACAGAGGTCCTCGAAATTATGCAGAAATAAGCCCCACCTGCGACAACAAAATTACAACAGCAAATCTTATAGTAATAAAGACGCTACATCTCCACCTCTTGTCAATGGGCATACAAATCATTTCAGTGTTGAAGAAGATGGTTGCTTCAAGAATGGTTATGAAGATAATGACGGACGCGAAGAAGATGAAAGTCACAGAAAAAGTCACACAAGCAGAGTTCTTGTAGCTAGTGTTACATATACAAATTGTTCCTTTGATGAACATAACGGTAACAGTGATGGTGCTGTCGGCGAAAGTAACGGAAGTGAAAACAACGATGGACACTGCGTCCTGAATTTAGACAGCAGTAAGGATGCTGAATGTCAAACTGGTGGTGCTAATGAACTAGGCGATAGGCGCGGGCACGATGTCAATGCTAATGATGACGCTAACATAGGCAACGTTAACGGTAATGCTATCCATGACGATGATTATGATGGAGCCAATGCTGGTTCTACTGTTGAAAATGACGATGGTAGTGATGAAGATGGTGGTAATGGCTACAGAGGATATGACAACCATGACCACCGCCATTGTGCTCGTGACGAACATAGTAATGGTGGGGTTGGTGATGGTAATAAAGATAGCAGTGGTGACAGAGCTGATGTTAAAGACGATGGCATCCATGGAAAATTTATCAGGGATAGCAATTTTGATGGTGAAGATAAAAATGATGATGTTGATTACACTGTGACCAAATCAAGCACGTTACTTATCGACAGCATTGTTCCAGGGAAAAGTATTAAACTAGCTACCAAGGAAACAAATTTTAGCCTACCAGTTAACACTGGCTTGGATGACAGACTTAGATCTCAGTTTTCAGATATTACCACGGGGGACAACAATGGTAACAAGGAGCCGCCGTGGGCGAGAGCGAAAACGTTGCTCACAAGTAATGAGAACACTGCGAAGTTTCCTACGACAAGTTATCCACAAGGACTAAGACTTTGGGTAAATGAGGCAGAATTTATATATAACCTTTGCAACAGTAGAATACCATCTCTAGAGGCGACA